AGGACTGTGTTGTTACAGATGAATAAATTATGGTGGTAGAGAATGAGAATATAAGTCTCTTACCTGGACTAGCCATAAATTCACTGATTTATGCTTTCTGCCCCATTTTTGGTCCTTGACATAAGTGTCATGAAAAGATTTGAAAGGGTCTATATCATGTGCAGGATTTAGGAGTATAATCCAGAGAGCCTGTGTCTTGCTAGAACACAGCCTTACATTTTACAGTGCTTTTAAGTTTACCGTGCCCTCACAGAAAGTGGCACTGTATTGTGATTTAGACTACGGAGGTTCAGGAAGTGGTATCCTGTGTCCTTCCACATTTCCAGTGATAATGCAACCCAAAACCAAGTGACCCCACACTTCGGAGATGTGGAAGACTAGTGAAATCACAAATATATCTGAAATTAGGTATCTTCCTTACTCCAGAAATTGTATCTTTGGTATTACTTTCACTTTCTTTCATAAAGACAAATTTTTGTGTCTTTGCCCTCTAGTCCTGAGGTTTGATGGAGTTATCTTAATGGATAATTTAATAGTACTTATGATTTCCGTATTGTGCTGTTATATACTTCTTTCTTAGCTACAAAAAAAGACAAACCGATTTCAAGTATAGTATTTCCCTTACCTATTTATCAAGTAATGTATGTTCAGCAGCCAGCTTAAAAATGTAACAACCACGTAAATAGGCTAATATGACAGCAATAATTTTCACGTATCATTTTATAAACATTATGACTTCTGTATCTAGCAAAGTGCTTTCCACTTAATAGGCAATTAGACTTTCAGTCAGTACTTTTAAATTAATAAATAGACTTTCAAATGAAAGCAGCCTGCCTTTCTTGAAGTAGAAATAAACATAAGCAGTTGCAAAAAGTTAGTAATTATTTCCTTAAATTTATGTGGTTTAACTTCAAAATTCATAATTTCGCAGAGCTTACAAAGTTACTGATAATGCTTATTAATGCTCAGGCTTGTGTGCTATGGAAAACGTAAGATAATTTAGGGTACGCAATATTGTAATAGAGGATACCTAATTTGTTTCTGCTAGGGAACTCAAATATCTTTAGATGTTATTTTTAATACTGACAGTTTCTTAGTATGTGGGGTTCAGGTTATAGCTCAGCAGTATAGCATCTGCCTGGCAAGTGCAAGGTCCGAATTCGATTACTGATACCCCCACCAAAAAAAAAAAAAATGCAGGGTATAATACCAATTTTGTCATAAAGGTGCATTATTGTGAGTGTGTATATTATCCATGTTTATTCTTTAGCATATTTTTACTGATAAATTATTAATTTTAATTGTATGAGTTTTATTATATTAAACACTGAGTACTTACCAGGAAAAAAATATAGACTATTTAATTTTCAATATTGTTGAGTGTTTATAAAACACCATCAAAATTTTCAATATCAACTACTTTGGTGTAAAAAGTCTAAAAAATAACAACAGAAATAAATTACTGTATGAGCTACAGTGAAAATACCAGTGGAACTCTAAAAAAAATCTTTAATTATTACACCTAAGGCAGTCCACACATGATAATACCATGTTCTGTATGTACACATCGGTTGCACTGCCCACACGTTTTGCACTTCTGGCCTTTCAGTAGACCTACTTGACATCATACTGGCCTTGATGTTTTTTCAGGCGAGTCTTATTATATTACACAATGTGTAGCTAACAGGAGCATAGATTATCAAAATAAATACTACATTCTTAATACAGAACGTGTATTTGGAATAAACATCATTTTCACATAAACTATGTACTTGCTTACAAAATCTAAAAGGCAACATCAGAAATAAATCCCTCAATGAACTACAGTGAAAATACCAATAGAACTCTACAACAAAAATAAGCTTTGCTTCAACTGTCACTTCCAAAGCAGTCTTCACACATGACAGCTGCGTGCTCCATGCACACATCTCACATTCCCTGACAGCACATGTGCTTAGTTTTCCTTTCCTATGTGGCAGGTCTTGCTTGTCACCTCTCTTGTCTTGCTGTTTTGCCAGGAGCTTCCTAGTATATTATACATTGTACACTTAGTAGGAAAATAAGATAACAATAAAATAAAATATCAAATATGTAACAAGTACTTAGACATCAAGGTTTTCATATCAACTGTTTGCTTTCTTACAAGACCTAAAAGATGACATCAGAAATAAAAACCTGCATGAACTATAGTGTAAATGTAAACAAAATAATTTTTGCTTCAATTGTCATTCCCTAGATAGTCTTCAGGCTTCTGTTTTATTGAGGTTTCCCTATCAATATAACCATCATGATGCTGACATTAGCACTACCAAAGTTTGTTTTTCTTTGGCATACAGGAAGTGATGTTGTATTTTTCTGAAATCCAAAGATTGTAATATACAATCCCGTGTTTTGAAACTGAAACATGTCATTTGAAATTTTTGCTTTGTTCCTGTGTATAGGCACTACACTGGTGAACTTGTACTCTATTAGCAAACGTAACATTAATGGTAAACTATTAAACCAGCTGTCCAATGTCACACTCAAATTAGTTGGGAGATGAGAGCTATAAGTATGTCACAACATCACTTGGTTTATTACTATACAAATAAACACCTGGTGGCTGAGTTCCAGGATAAATTTCTAAATTGAAAGTATAATACGTCTTTGGATCTACAGGGCATAATTTTTATTTTAAAATTTTATTTAATTTTTTATTTTGTTTGTTTTATTTTTTTGAGACAAGGTTTCACTGTACAGTGGGCTTTAATTCACTTGGTAGCCCAGCCTGGCCTCAAACTTGCAGTGAACCTCTTGCCTCAGCCTTCCAAGTGTTAGAATTATGAGCACATGCTACAACACCTGGCTACAAGTGCATTCACTTTTATGCTATATTTTGAAGGCTTTGGGGAAATTTAGTGCCAGAGAGAACATACAGCATGAAATGTCAGACAGTTTTCCACAAATCTTTCAAACTATGAGCAGACAGCAGCCAGATCATCAGTTATTTTCTTACTCAATGGGTGGTTTTGTCATCAAACCTCAGGCAATTTTGAAGCAAACCAGTCTCCTCAGTATCATCATTTTTCTATAAACAAGCCTATACCTATTGTTTTTCCATAAGTCTTTTACATTCTTGTGATTACCATGAGAAAGATCTGCTAATAGTACAGCCCTATGAATGCTTTCAGTTCAGCTAGTGAGATGTCATACTAAATCCATTTTGAGTATGGCTATTGGTGCATACAGAACATTTTATTTGTATTTCAGAATTTGTGCATTTTAGAACATCTTGTGAGATTTTGTGTGTTATAAGCAATTTACAGCATTGAATGACAGTGCTGGCATTCCATCCAATAAGTTTCACACTTGCCAAGATCCTCACTGTATTTTTGGACCTAGTTCTACATTGGATTGTTCCATTTGGTTGCATGGTCATTTTGTAAAATTTCTATTAGTCAAATATGTATTCACATTGCTGTTCCTTTGTCATCTCAGTGAAGAAGGTCTGTGTTCCCTATTTCTATATTAGTTGATTCTTGCTCTATTTCACTGCCACAGGAAACTTGGCTCACATGGCCAACATTAAAGTCATTATCATCTTCATCGTTCATGCATGAATGATCTGATGATTCACTTTCAGCCTCCCACAAAACTTGCAAATATGTTTTTTCATGTGCCATTATACTGAATTGGGCTACTTGTACCAGAAAAATCAAAAGAAAACTTTCATTTAAAATGAATCCTAAATACACAGAAATTTAGCATGGAGCATTTCATGGATAAAATTCACCTGTTGCTGCTTTGGATCTCTGGTATATTCCTTGCCATGTGTCTGCCAAGTGGGCAAATGCCCAGATGGATTTTTGCTTTCCCCAAATGCAGCTACTGTGAGTTATACCCATATTACATTTGTTGTTAAATTTACATGTTTACCGAACAGAAGTGACGTGGTTGCATTTTAACCTGTGATGGCTCAGGTAAACATACTGAAAACCTGTTAGATGGAACAATATATGGGTAAAAATCCCAGTTTGACATTTTTGCTCACGTGCACACAGCTTGCCATTCCTCATACCAAGTGAAGAAACAGGAACATTGCTTCCTGTATTCCCCTGAAGCAGATACTGAGATGCACCATTATGGTTGATACATTATTTGAGTAGTTTAGAAGTTTAACGGAGAAACTCAGCAGGGAACCAGGATTCTTAATTTGTAAATATCCTCATCCTGTGCAGGAGAAAGGCACAGAGATTTTGTGAGTACTATATCTGCCCTGGGGAGCAGGAGTAGCCTGTGTACAATATAAGGGAGGAGAAAAGACCTGTTCCCCACCTTTGTTTTTGCTCTGGCTGCTATCTTGAAGTGTTGCTCCAGTGCCATGCCACCCTGCCTTGGAGCTATCTGATTATGTACTGATATCTCCACAAACAGTGAGCTAAATAAACCTTTCTTTCGTTTGTTTTGGGTGTAGGGTGTTGTGTCCCAGCAACAAGAGAAAAAAACCAAGAGGGGCATAGCTGGCTACTATTATACTAAATAACAAGTATAAATTTGCAGTAGAAAAGTATGGCATGGGTTTCTGTAGCCCAGTGTTATGCACCGGGAAATAATTGTTACTATTATCATTTTTGCAGTGTTGGGAAATTAAATTCATAACTTTCCATGTGCTAAGAAAATGCTGTACCACTGAACCATATCCTCAACTTTTTACGGATTTATAAATTTTCCTCAATTAAAAACTTGCTGCTAGCTTTCTCATTTGTGTATATATATTCAATATAGCTACTTTCCTATTTATTACAAAAAAGTATTAGCATCATTTAGAAATTTAATTTATTATTTTTGTCAAAAGATTATTTTTACCTTTTGAAATTTGAATTATCTGATTAATATGCCAATTAGAGTCATGTGAAAAAGTATGCATAAGAGGATAATACAATTTTTCTTTGTTTTGGGAGCTTTTCCTAACAGGCAAATCTTTCTTTCTCTTTGCTTTCATGGATTGTGTTTTGCTCCAGAATTAGTTATGTGCCTGCAGAACATTTAGAGGAGTTCAGAAGATGTTTGGGACAACAATCTGGAGAAGTAATGGCATTGGATATTTTTTCTTCATATACGGGCAGGTAATTGAAACATCAGATCTACTACACTGAATGAATGATACAATAAGTTAAAAAGGAATTTGAATCAGAATCAGAGAAGTTAAGCATAAGTCTAAATATCTTTTCTTCAGAGATTTTTAAACATATTCTCCTACTACCTAAGTAATTATCACATAATCTGAAGAATTTGGGGAATATATGAATATTCAAATCAAGAAGTGAAAATGATCTTTAATTCTGCTACCTAATATAGTAGTTTTAACATAATTATCAAATGCATCTTCAGAAATTTTATTTCCTTGTTAATATGTATAAATCTATAAACACTGTAATACATTTATATTTTACTCTGAGAGAATGTGAAGTTGAACATCTTGATGCATAAGCATGTTATGTTTGAATTAGAATCATGGCTTTTCCACAGTGAATGTACCATTGTGCTCTTGATTACAGACTTTTTTTTTCAGTTGCATTACTAACTGAATGTCAAATTTTCTTTCAGCATTCTATAGATCAAAAGTTCTGCCTTTCCTTACAAAGTATCAGAACATCTCATAATACCTTTATGTCCAGTAATTTTTTAGCAATCATCATATTGCATCATTGTTTCCCCTACAAATTTCAGTATCAGGGAAAGGAAAGGGATGATATGTGTTTAATAAAGAGAAGGGATGATATGGTCTCTGGGGCCTCATGAAGTTAATTGGAAAAGGAGTACTCCATTCTGTGCAAAGCTAAGCCACACTGTACTGTAGAACTTCGTCCCAGGGTTAATGGCATGAATTGATTATGGTTTATTAATGCTTTTTATCATATTTTGAGGATAGTAAATACAGTTTGAAACCAACATTCCAGGGTTCTTCTGAAATGTTTCAAATGTCATAAAGAATACACTAAGTCACATTAGTCTTCATAAATTCTGGGGCCTTCAAATTTTTTTCATTTTCTTTTTTCTCTTTTGTTTTTTGTACGGGGATCGAACTTACAACCTGGCACTTGCCAGGCAAGCACTTGTGATGCTGAGCTAAATGCCCGGTCCAGGGAGCTACTTTCAACACTGTTTTTTTTTTGTAGCATGGAAAAGAGGCCCTTGTTTGTCCAATGCTATGACCAACTGCTTCACCATAGAGAAAGTATGTTTGCTGTTAATATCAGTGTTTAACACAGAGTAAAACAACCTGCAGTGAAGGGAAGTTGCACAAGTCCCACAGCTAATAAGCATCAGAGTCGTGCTTAGAATGAAACCAGTTGGACTCCTTATTCTTAAAACTGAATTCAAAGGAAGACCTGCATAAATGTATAAAAATAAGTGGCAGCAGAGCATGGAAGGTAAAAGCTCAGTTTTTGTGGTAGGATGACTTCAATTCAGATCTTGCTACTTCAGCTTGCGTGTGCATGCAGATATAAGCAGAATTAGCAATGGTAGTTGTTAGAAATTTTTTTGGTTGTCAGTAGTTTAATACTGAAAAAAGAAATGCAGTTCTTGGCTGAATGAGGACAGCTAAATGAGAATTGATCCATTCTACTCTAAAGATACTTGAGTCCCAGAAAGCATATACTAAAATGAGTAAAGAATATCTCAACATTTAAAACAGCTTGTCTGGGTTAGTGAAAGAATTCAAGTTTTTAGAATAATTTGAAGAGAATAGACGTTATTTTTCAAGCAAGGCAGAATATTTATTTTCTCCCAAGGCAGAACCACGGGGCGGTACTATGATTAAAAGTGTTTTTCAGTGTCTCCAACAGGCGAGGCTTTAGGGCTCAAACTCTCCTCATCTCATGGCTGTCACTCCCCACAAATTCTAAATCTATCTTCCAGGCGTCTTTTTGCTGTCAAATTTTTTCCAGTTACATTTCCAGTGGGTTAAAAGCTTTGTTTTCACCTGACTGCTTTCATCCTCTGGATAAGGACTATTTCTCAGTGACCTTCTTGACACCATTTTTGGAATTCTCTTGGAACTGTTATCTGCTGTCTGGTCCCACTGTCAGGTTTACACTCCAGGCAGCCTGATCCATTCAGAGCATGTTCGTGGAATTCAAATGCAAAACTGAGAGTAAGACTCTTAACAGCTAGACTGCAGTGTAGCCATATTTCCTACCACCAGTAAGGCCAAAGAAACAACGAGATGTTCTAAGGAGGCCTGAACCATCCCTCTCCAGAAATGTGACCACATTCAAACAAGATTATTGGATTAATGACTTCTGATCTCGAAATGTAAAGATGATATAATTTGAGAGTGCTCAGTGTTTCTGTCAGTGGAGAATGCTTATACTTTGAACATGTACTTCTTTTTATTTTTTTCAGTTTTAATAGTCACATGAGAATCCTAGATAAGAACTTGTATAGCTTCTGTGCTTTAAAAGGATTATACAAACATATTTCGTTAGCAAACCAGTTTTTATCAATAGCATAAAGACATGCCATAATCCTTTTAATTGTTCTCTATTGCTTTTCAGTATCTTTTATTCATAAAAGCTATACCCTTGGAAAAACAAAATAGTGTTTGATATAATTGTACAGTTTTACCGTCAGTCAACAGACACATTTTCTTATATGGCTTGTATCTGGTAAAATGTGAATTGTTACAAAAACTGAAAGTATATTTTAAAAGAATATTATGTTTCTGAGCCCTGTGGATGGGCTAACGCTGAATCACAGGTATTTTCCACCTTTCTTCAAAGATTAAATGGACAGTGTGTTCTGTCCTTAGGAAACAGAGATGCAAAACTGCTCCCATACTTGCTACCTAATTGTATCAAGGCAGAGAGCAGAGTGTGTATGCTTGTAGCCTGTATATGCCTCTTGTTTTTTGACAATTTCAGGAAATATTTGATGAATTCTTTAAAATTTTAAGTATTCACTTTTTCCTTTATGCTTCTGTTTTGTTAGAAAAAGTGTGTAGACTCAGGGTTCACTATTTCTAAACTTTTGGTAGATTGATTGTAATATAAGGTTCTTATTTGATTTGATTGTTCCCTCTGCCATAAAAATATCTTGGCCAAGTATAGTGAATATGTAAAACAGTTAGCATCATCAGCAATTAAGTACATATAAGACAGTATTGTGTAGAGTACTTATTGTGAAACTCTTTATCCAGAGACATTCCAGAACTACCAGAGCGAGAAGAGGGAGAAGGAGAAGAAAGTGAACTTCAGAATGCAGCATATAGCAATTGGAATCAGCCCAGGAGGTAAGGCCTATTTGTGGCTTCTGCCCACTTAGGGGCATAATGTGTAATTCTTGTGTACACTGAAGAGAATAGTGTGTGTCACACAGGGTAGCTGTTCTCATTAGTGGAAGCAGCCACTGATGAGTTCAGCAGGTAAGTATGCTCTTGGAGGGCGGGGACTGCGCAGAAGAGTGGGCCGCAAGGGAGAATGTGTCTGCCTCCCGGGTTCCTTCTCTTCTGTTTCCTGGCCTCTTTCATATGAGCAGCTTTCTAGGCCCTTCCACTTTACTGTTCTGCTGTGTAAGCTTCTGGAACATGAACTAAAACTTCTACAACTGTGAGTGAAAGTTGAGTAATTTGTCCCAAAATTAGGATCCTAACTACTGCAGCACATTAACATTCTCATACTGAGTAAAATCCACTTGAGTTTGATAGGGCACCACTGAGTTCTACAGGCCATGATTTGTGAGTAATAGGAAGTAAATATTAGACCCAAACCGTGCCTTTAAAGAGTTATTATGTCTGTGCAAGCTATCGAGACCCAGGAAACAAAAATGATACAAGGTGTTTTGCATTAATTGTAAAATTTTAAGTGATCCTAGAATATCCCTCAAAACAGACATAAATGTAACCATTATGAGGGTGTTAATAAAAGTTAGTATTTGTTAAACAGTGAGTAAAAAATGCTCTAGAGATGGAGTACAGTTTGATGATATTTTCTTTACTCAAAAATGAAGCACCTGTCTGTAACACCAGCACCCAGAAGGCTGAGGCAGAAGTATCGCTACGAATTCAAGGCTGGCCTGGGCTACAAAGTGAGTTAAAGGCCACCCAGAACTGCATAAAGAAACCCTATCTCAAAAAATAAAGCAAAACAAAACAAAACTGAACTTGAACTTGAACCTATAGCCATTCTATTTAAACATTTTCAAAGTATAGAGAATACTTTATATTGTTGTCAGTGAACTAGCATTTCCATCCATCCATAGTAAGTTCTGAATTGCTTTGAAAGCTATTCAGTTTGTTTTTTAAAAATCCAGAAGCATGCTCACACTAGGAATACAATATAAATTCTTGATGTGTGGTATAAATATAAGCTATTAAGCATCTTATGTATTTGTAGATTGAGGCAGAAATAAGTTAGGTGAAATTATTTGTAACAGGTACTGTAATTTAACATGAATTTTGTTGGACTGTAATGATTGGAAAAAACAATACATTGGTCAGTTTTAAGAAAAACAGTGGGATGAAGAGGATGTAAAATGATCAATAAGAACTTTGATATTTTCTATAGCAGATTTATTTCTACTAGGTCTTGACTACTTTATTACTGAAACAGAGCTAATAACAGAACCTTGTAAATTTGGGGAAAAAGTTAGTAAGGTAACACATTTAAAATCCTTAGCATAATGCCCTGAACAGAGTGAATCCTCAACCTGTGATTGGTCCTGTTTATAATAATATAATTTTGAAATATAGTAACTAAGCAGAGAGGAAGCAGTGAGCACAAGAAACAGTTTGAACTTTTTTTTTAAGAGGAAGAAGAGTATACTTCTGAACTATATTCTTTTCAGGTTTTAACCTTCATATTAACCCAAGAAAAATCTTCAGATCTGCTTTACATAGATAAAATATTTGAAGCTTCTATAAATTCCTCTAAACAAAGTAACCTGTGCCACTAATGTCTATAGAAACAATATGTTACTTTACGGAGGGGAGTGTATGTTATGGTTTGTGTTCAGATGGTCCCTCAACCCCTGTGGAGTCTTGGCTGAATCTAGTGATCATGATGGGTTCATTGTCTAGCACTGGAATTGGTGGTGTGAGTGTGACATCCACCCAGGGGTGGATCCGACATTCAGTGTAAGGATGGGAAGAAAGTGTGTCTCTCTCCTCTTTGCTCTGTTTGCTTGTGTGGTTTGTGGTGGCCATGGATGGCTGCCCCACCATACCATCTTGCCTTGGAGCCTGCTAAGTACAGACTGAAACCTCCAAGAATGGTAAAAAATAACCCTTCCCTTGCTTCATTTTTGGTGTCAGATATTTTGTATCAACAATGAGAGAAAAGTAAGATACGATGAATGTCTTAGTTGCTTTTCTCATTGCTGAGACAAAATAGGTGACACCCAATATTAAAGGAGGAAAGGTTTATTTAGCTCACATTTATAGTGTTCAGTCCATAATTGACTGACTCTAAGGCAGGGGGGACACATGGGAGAGAGGCAACAGTTCATGGAAGTGGAAGACGCCAAAAGCAACAACAGAGAGAAAAAAGAGCTCTTTCTGCCCCTTTTATCCAGACTTCTGGAATTAGGATGGTGCCAGTCTAGTCGCTGGAGTGATCCATCAATCACCCACTCTTAATCCCAGCACCCTTGATTCCAGCATTGTGTTAGAAATCAATCTAGATTCAGTTGCCTCCAAAAAATCCATCTAAAAGTACATGAGACTTTGGGGTGACATCTAGACACAAACTAACAATGAGGAATTACCAGAATCACCAGAGCTTTTGATAAATTAATCTTATCCATTTATTAGATAAATATATATTTGTTTTATGTGGAAATAGAGAATTTGTTTTAGCAAAGTGTTAATATTAAGACTCTAAAATAGTATTATTTTTGTGTGCAATTTTTATTTGTGTGTAATTTTTATTTATAGAATTTATATCATACCATAGGTATCGTTTTTAGCTTAATTTCCCTCTCAGTTTGGAGACCTATCCATATTTGATACCTAAATCTCTTAACTCAGTCCATTTACCTATGTTGAATTCCAGCATGTGAGTGTTCCATACTTTATCCATTTTCAAGCTGATGCTTGAGTAGTTAATAGTTACTGTTATAATAATTCTGTGTAATAAATATTTCTATTTATACTTCTATGTGAAAATTTACTTAGGATCTGTATCCAGAAGAATAATCCCTGACTCTCATAGTTTTAAATCTGATTTTTACTTTATGAGATAAGTTGTTATGAGATAAGTTGTTGTGTTGATTATATCAATCTTTATTACTGTATCCTTTCCCTAAGTTCCTTTTCCCCTAATTCCTTGTCACTACATCACAGTTATTTTTTATGAAAAGTTTTATCAGTCTGATGGGTGAAAAGTGGTACCATGTCTTAATAAGAAAGGCATAACTGGATTAATTGGCTGAGGTAGACAGCTGCTCATGTGTCACTGATTGAAGAAGAGTCATCATCATCATCATAAAAGGCTTATTGTTTGCTTACTGTGTACCAGTATTTGTTTGGTACTTGGGTGTTTTGAGTAATTTAATCATCACACAGCTCTCTGCTGTAGAGGCCCTTATTGACACTATTTCACAGTCTAAAAAATGAGATAGACTAAATGAGATGCTTGTTGTCCACTGATTACTGTATCAAATGGCAATAGGCTAAAATTTGAACTCAGAAATGTAATTTATTACCCAGAAAGTATAACAGAGCTATATTTTACCTTTCCTTTCTAAAGTTCATTCTTCTTAAACCTATGGATAAATCTGTAAAGAGACTCGCATTTTCTTTTTCACTTTTTTAATTCCAGGATGAAAATATCCTACAAATTGTTTCTTTCATAAGTCTTCATTTTCTTTCCCAGGAGAGTATTTACCATGCTCTGTCTCATGAATAATGAGCCTGGTTCCTCAACACTCTGGTCATTTAAGCAGCTACCTTTAAGTTGTTTTCTCCATAGCTAAAGATTTATGTCTTTTAATTCTAGGCAACCTATTTAAACCCTATAAGAAAATATGGTGCTGTTGTCCACAGGTTACTTAACCTCTCCACAGTTCTTTCTTCTTTTATACAATGGGGCTAATAACAAGTGTCCATCCTGTAGATTGATGTGAGAATAAAATGTAGCTCATTTAAACAATAAGGATGAGGTTTTCAATTTTTCTGGGAAAATACCCAGGAGGGGAATAGCTACATTGAGGAAAACTTTCAGTCCTAGTTTTTTGAGGAATTTCCATACTGATTTCCTCAGTGGCTGCACCAGTCTACACTCCCACCAACAGTGGAGAAGGGATCTCTTTTCTCCACAGTCTCTCCAGCAGTTGTTATTGGTTGATTTCTTAATGGCAGCCATTCATTCCAGAGTGAGATGAAATCTCAATGCTATCTCAGTGATATATGTGCACCCATGTTTATAGCAACACAATTTGTAGTAGCTAAGTCTTGGAAACAACCAAAATGCCCATCAACCACAGAATGGATGAAAAAGGTGGCGTTTTTACACCATGGAATATTACCCAGCTATAAAAAAGGATGATTTTCAGGCTTTTATAGGTAAATTGAGACAACTTGAAACTATCCTCATAAGTAAAATAAATCAGGCTCACATTTGTAAATGTCACATTGTATCTCTCATATAAAACATAATAATAGAAAAACTAAAAGAGTAATAAGATCCAAAATGTATAATAGACACTGTGATAATGAAAGGGAAAGAAAGTACTCTGAAAGATAACTGTATTTATATTTAAGTATTCAAGATAGATAACCATACTACTAAGTTTTTGTTAATTCATCAAATAGAAGGATTTGTACTGTCATTATTTGATTGTCCACTTTTTATGCTTTGATTTTTTGTGACTTGAGCAACTACTAAGATAACATTATGTAATTTATCAACTAGTGATTTTTTACTTTTTTAAAATTCTGTATTATTTTTACCTTTTTTTCTGTTTTCTCAAAAAAAAAAGAATAAAGATGAAATATCATGAGCCCTTAATAAATGTTAACTATTATTTTTGAGGTTTTGTATTATTCTGGAAATCACCTAGACTTCCTCTTTTATCTATGATGCACTTCAATTCCTAGTCTTTTCTTTTTGGGACTCCACTTAATTTTTAGGAATCCTTGTTTGACCTTATTTCTTTTGGGAGCTCTCACGTGTTAATGCTGAGGTCACATTTTGCCAGCTGTCTCCACTACTTACTGTCCATCACTGCTTTCTTTTCTGAGGCATGGAGCAGAGTGCAAGGCCTGCAGTGCTGGCTCTGTGCCTCATCCAGAGTCACCTCACTGTACATCCCGTGTTCTTCTGTACTTGCCTTTTCGCAAGTCTGTACTTGAAATTGATTCATAAGTCTTAGAGATATTTACATGATCATTTTTTATTCTGTGGGTAAAGAAGTACATGCAAGACAGAGCAAGTAGCTAGTGCCAAGAGCCACAGCAGGATCATATGCCGTGAATTGAAAAGCAGCTGGAAGGAGATGTGGTAGCTGGATTGGAGAGAGCAAAGTGTGGTTTAGGGAGGTAAAAGAAGAATCAGATTATGTGGGATTTTGTCAGCCTCTGTTCTTCATGCCCCGACTATTAATGAACAGGTCTGTTTTGGCAAGAAAGATTTCGCAAAGACAGGCCTCTAACGTGGCGTATGCAGCAGTGTTCTTCCCTGGATTTGGCTGCTAAGCTTAGAGGCTACCATCTGTTCAGTGGCAGCTCAATTTACTGATTTTTTAGTGCCTATCATATTAAAGTGCCTGCAAAATGGTACTTTTACATTGGTCTGTGCCCCAGCCTGAAGTGTGAGTCCAATATTTACTTATAACAAATCAGCTACATAAATATATTAGTATTTATCTGGCTTTAGAAAGCATATCATTAGGAAAATATTTTAAACTATCTTATTTTCTACTGGTATACCATTGTTTTTTAAAAAAATACTTATTCTTTTTAACAATGTCAATCATTTGAATCTATCATTGATTGGCATTAGGTACATTCACATTGCTATACAACTGACACTACCAGCCATCTGCAGAGCTTTAATCATCTTATAAAGCTCCGAGTCCATTAAAGCTAGAATGTTCCATTTTCTCTCCTCGCATTCTGTAGCGACCACCATTGGACTTCCTGTCTCTATGAATGTGACAACTCTAGAAGTCTCATATCTGTGGACTCACAATATTTGTCCTTTACTTCACTTAGCATAATGTCCTCAAAACTTGTCCATGTTGAAATATTTTTCAGAATTTTTTTCCTTTTTGAGGATAAACACTAACCTGTTGTGTTATATATTATTTTGTTTGTTTATTTGTTTTGATGAGCAGTTTGGTTGTTCCTACCTTTTGATTATTGTGAATAAAAATGCTTTTTATAAAGCATAAAGTATCTTTCATAAAATATCTATATAAGACCTTGTTTTGAATTCTTTTGGCTGTACACCAAGAAGTGGAATTACTGAATCATATGGTAATTGTGTTTTTAATATTTAAAAGAATGTAGAATTTTCCGTAACAGCTGTACCATTTTACATTCCCATCAAAAATACAAAGGTTCTCAATTTCTCTGTATTCTCACCAATGCTTGTTAGTTTTTGCTTTTTTGGTGGTTGAAATTTTAATAAATACGAGCTAGAATCTTAGTGCATATTTATTTAAACATGTAGTGATTAGTAATAGTAAGCATCTCTTAATATGTTTACATGGCATTAATGTATCTTCTTTACATAAATATCCGTTCAAGTCCTTGGTTCCTTTTTTTAATCTACTTATTTCATGTAATTGAGTTTTAGAAGTACTCCATTTATTCTGGTAACTATTCCCTTTTCAGATTGTGATTATCAAATACTATTTTTCTCCTGTGTTTTGTCTTTTTACTCTGTTAGTGGTGTCCTTTATACAAAGATTTTCATTTTGATAAATTTTCATTTGTTGTTGTTTTTTCCTTTGTCAGTGCCTTTGATGGCATATACAAGAAGGTATTATAAAATCTAATATCAAGAAGTTTTTCCTATATGTTTTCTGAGAGTTTAAAAATTTATTTTTTGTAGAGTTGAACTTTGGAGAGAACCAAGCAAATCTTTGGGCATCAGCATTGTTGGTGGACGAGGAATGGGGAGTCGTCTAAGCAATGGTGAAGTGATGAGGGGCATTTTCATTAAACATGTCCTTGAGGATAGCCCAGCTGGGAAGAATGGAACCTTGAAGCCTGGAGACAGAATAGTAGAGGTACCCTTCAGTGAGCTTTCTGTGTCAGAACTCTTCACCTGTCTCACCTTCTCTACTAAAGGAATTGCCACCTTTGTGCTGGTTACTCTACTCATGTTTAGAGAAAAATGTTTGTGATTAAAATGTTTGGTCCTTAGTTTTCTTTTATGTATGATGACACGTTGTATATCAATGTAGAAAATGATGCTTAGAAATAATTGCCAGCCAGTTTTTAAAACATTGGCCCCACTGTAAAATAATTGCATCTATTTAAGAGTAAAACAAATTTCTTAGAGAAAATAGAATTATTTAAAATTATTATATATAATTATATACATATTAAGTGTACATATCATAGTGAAGTTTTTAATATGATTTATCTTAAGAAACGCTATCATTTTAATATAAAAAACTTTGTAGATTGAGAATTTGTTCCAAGTAAGTCTTTATTTTTTGTAAACTCTTCAAATGCCAAGACTTCGATTACTGTTCCCTCCCAGTGCAGTACAGTTCGAGTTCACCTCTTGTTCAGTGATATGTGCATTGGCACTGAAGCCACTGCCCATTTGCACATGTGTGTGCACCTGTCCGTGTATTTTTTATACATGAGACAGAAATGTGTGATCAGTTTGTAGTTAACCCCTAGTTCAACACGAAGTGTAATATTTTAAATCAGCTCTTCTCACATGAGTCATTTGCTCTATGAATAATATTCTTTGAGGAAATATCATATTTCAGGTCCTGTGTCAGGCTCTGGTTGTCCCATAGTAGATAAAACATCATGCCTGCCTGGCAAGAGAGGCTGATTTGACAAATTGATCACTTGGTACATTATGCCCAGTACAATTATGTTTAAAATGGTACAGAAGTGTGAGTACCTGACCCCGATTTGCTGATATACTGAGTGAACTTAAGAGTGACAATTTCAAAATAAATGCAACTTTATTACTATAATGGCTATCATATACATTCAGCTGATTGCATCATTTTCTAAAGCTATTATATAATTTATATATCAGAGTGCCGTAATTGTTTAGATTATACTTATCAATCATGACTTTAAAATGCAGATTTATTTACTTACTGTTTATTGTGTCTGAGAACCAAAGAAAGAATAGATTGAGATTTGAGAGAAAAGCAAGGACTCTGTTCCCTTTTTACCCACTGTGATCATTCATAGGAAATATTCACAAACTATTTCTCCCTGCTGCATCCTTAGCTTTCATTAGATTTTGCATTTGGCCACTTTGAAATAATTCTTAAAGCATTCCACCTATAATTTTCGATTTTAGATCATCATTAAGAAGTTTTTATTATGCATTCCTTATTATAGATATCTTTATTTTAAACAGAAAAGTAAAAAAAGTTTTATTATTTCTATAAAGTTAATTATTTCTATAAAAGTCATAGTTTGTCGCAAAATATTGTTTGAATGCATTAACTTAAAATATGCCTTTCCAATAGAAAAGCAAAAATATTCCTGTGTTGAAAAGTAGCTGTAATTTGGTATAATAGTGCCTTATGTGTAGAAGCTTTTCAATTAAAGAAGAAAGTTTTAGGCCTCTATAATACTGGGATTCTGAAATATGCCTGTGCTCAGAGTACCTGGAAATGTGTATAGATTACGTGCACAAAACCTGCAAAGTGTTATTCTGTTCTGAGTGTAGTGTTCTTTGAACTTGAGCAAAGATATATAGCATCCTGTAAAATTGCCCTACTAATGAAATATATGGTAAACAGCAGACAGGAATACTGACTTCTGTTTTACAAAAACACAAATTTTAAAGCCACTTTTAATGTAAACCAAAAAAACAAAACAAAACAAAACAAAAACAATGTTCTGTCATCCATGTATCAACCTGAGGGAGATTTTCAACTAAATTAATAATTCTTTGTAATTTTTCAAAAATGATAATATCATATGCCAACATCTGATAAGTGATTTTCTTTTCCAGAATTTTGTGTATTCTGAACTTACTAATTGGGAATGATAAAATGGCAGCATAATCTAATTTTCTGGTAGGATTAGCATTTGGCCTTTTAAATTATTTTCCTCCTTGTTCATGTAGGACATATGCTGAACTGATCATCACCTAGACAGTTCATGGTCAATAAAAAATTAGAAAATAACTGTTACTCTCAAACTGTTTATGTAAGAATTACTAACAGATGAGCACAGTTTCTTGGCTTCCAGCTCTTGTTGTGTCTATTGCAAAGATTCTTGTTCAAAACTAACCTTACTGTAATTTGATTTTCTGGATATCATAAGTTTGATTTTAATGTAAAGAGTCTCAGGATAGAAATATATAAAGCATCACTTGCCTCCTCCCAAACCATTCTGTAATGAGTTAGAAGAAAATGAATACAGTGACTTTCATGATAAAGACAGTGCTGTTAGTCCCTTTTCATTTTCAGTCCTTTTTCATTTTATTGATGCTGATTTATTAATTTGAAGGAACAGCCAAGCAAAGTAAGGAATGCAGAGCACATTGCCATCATTCCAACTGGTTACTGCTTCAGAAATCTGTGTCCAAAAGAAGGGAACACAGATCCACTGGTGAGATGAAAAATTTTGCAGCCTTAAAAATAACCTCCATTAATATAGATACTGAAACAAATTTTCCAAGAGTCTAATGGAGGGTCCTCAAAACATCAGATCCACAAATTGTTCTTTATTCTATAGCTTCTTGAAATGTTAAGCTGAGGCCTTCCATTGCAGGTGGATGGAATGGACCTCAGAGATGCAAGCCATGAACAAGCTGTGGAAGCCATTCGGAAAGCAGGCAACCCTGTAGTCTTTATGGTACAGAGCATTGTAAACAGACCAAGGGTAAGCGAACATAAAGGGCAATGTAGGCATGCCCAAACACTGCTCAACATGGAGTCTATCTTAGCAAGGACCAAGCAGATAAGAGCAGATAGAGGATTCATGAAGTTTCAGAAGACTTTTTTTTTTCACTTTTAAACATTCCTTTCACCATGTTTAGTAGTCTTGAAGTCTGTTGAAAACATACAGAACTAGGATTTATTTGTGATCATAGTGTCTAAATGGTCAATTATTCATTGTAGTCACAAGCTACACAAATTGTTCAAAGGAAAGTGGCATAGTCATCCAGGTTAAATAGTCTATGATCCCAAGAAGAGTCCCTTGAAAGCTAGAAGGATTATATATTTCCTTTAAATTTATTCCCTAGACCAAATTTGCCTTTTACACATAATCAGATCTGTGATATGTTTGTGAATCCCACTAAACAGTACATTTTCAGAGTGGATTTTGTTTTATTACAAGTGATTTTTAAATTGCTGTTACCAGCTATAATCACATTTAGTTCATCAGTATATATCTCCTTGTGGACAGAAACCTACTAATGTGTTTTACCATCAAGCATCATAAGCAGAATAACTTTGAAAATATTTTCGAAAAATGCAGACTCCTATAGTGAACATCATTGATAAAGAAGAATTCAAATGAGGCTTTAGGGATTTACTATATCCTAATAATGGTGTAGGTGAAAATAATGATGATATTTAATACTCTTTTTTTCTATTGATTTTGTATGCCTATGAAAAGACAATTTCACATGCAGGAGTTACTAAGTCTATTTTTGTTGCATATCCCTGGAAAAATTTTTCAGAATCATGAATGACCATGGGTATGAAAAGCTCATTGAAAAAAAAAAAAGCTCATTGAGTATGAAAGCTCCCTCAAAAGCTTTCATAGCATTTCACAAATTTCTGAGCTTACTGAATCACTCAGTCGCCACTTGTGGATTTAACAACCTCTGTTCTACTAATTCTCTGTGAATTATCCTCTGCTTGTCTTCAAGGTTGATTATCTTTAAAAAAAAAATGTCAACATCTATGAAGGATGTTAAAGGTACCATCTAAAATTTAAAAATAAAATTTTATGTATAAAATACTTTGAATTTAACTTGTAAAATTAAGAGTTTAAGATATTAACACTCAAATGATGAAAGAAAGGTACCAAACACATCTGTAGACGAGATAAGTAAATGCCGTGGAATGCAAAATGACCAGATTGATTTCGTTGGTGCCTTCCTTTTGTTCAAGCAGATGTAACTCTGGTCTTGATTCTCTTAAAGGAGTGAATTTAGTAGTTCTTAAATAAGCAGCTGCAGGTTTTAATCATTCAGTTGTTTATTGTTAGGTAATAATTAGCCATTCAGATAGAAAATCTGCCAAATAGTGGGACTGTATCATGCTGCATTCTTTACAGACTTCATTCAGTTTGTTTAAAGAACTACAAATTCTTTTACGTTTGTTCCCATTTGTTATGTTAAACACACACACAACATAGCAGTGTGGATAAATCACTGTTTATTAAGTTAAAGCTTCTGTGTGTGTGTGTGTGTGTGTGTGTGTGTGTGTGTGTATAGGTGGGTAAGTTTCATTCCTTCTTTTGCATTATTTGAGAGAATATTTTACATTATTTGAGAGAATATTATAATTGATGAATAATGGTTCTTAATATTACTTTAAAAACTTAAACTAGAAACATTTCTTTCAATGCCAGTTATATTTTCTAATGGGCCTAGAAAGCTATTGTCTAATACACCTGGAAAATATTTCTGTTTTATTATCTGAGGCGTAATAATACCTAATTTTGAAGTAATTATCCCAGGATAAATCTTGATTAGAGTGACATGTTTAGTCTTGTTATGTACATTTTATTTGAGAAATTAGAATTAATTTTGCATTTAAAATGAAATATGCTTTGTTCCCAGGGATTTGCTTCCCTATGGAAGTCATCATGTCTATTAATGTAAAGCAAAAAAGGAAAAATCACAGTATACATTCTTAAAAATCTCTTAGTGGTAAATGTTTTATTTGTGAATGGAAAAAAAAGCTTCTAGGAAACCTTATATATAGACTGATGAACTAATCACTCTTGTTGACCTTTGGACTATTCATTAATCAGAACTTTCCAGCCTAATCCTGATAATTGTACCAGCACAAAGATCCCAGATTTTAGTCTGGCCTTGTTGAATTTAAGGTGGACTCCATGAATGTGATTAACATGGACCAGAGAATGTTTTTGATTTCCTCGAACTTCTTCATTATTAGTGCTTCTGCTCTCATCAGCTCTTAAAAATACAGACAGCTTTGTCATTGATTTTTTTTTTTAGCAAAATATGTGACTGTATCTTTCCCTAATAACAGAATGACCTACTGTTTCATCTGCTTCACACTCTGCTATCGGGCCAAATTCTAATCCTATAAGATCTTCAAATTTTAACATTACAAAGCAACCAAAAATTGCAGATCTCTTTAAGGATTCTGTTTCTTGCCCTCAAGATTTTGTTTTCTGTTGTTCTGCATAATTATAAAGGACACTTGAAACTGAAAAATATCATGTATGAAGATTGGAAATAATCTCTACCCTCAATACATGGGACTATTTTACCTAGGATAAGTTTTTCTTCTCTGCTTTGTCATTTTTTCCACTTTAATAAATGGTCATGTTCTTTGGTATTTGTGATATTCTCATGTATAAGGCAGGAGTTGACATTTTAAACTGAATTGGAGGGAGAAAGTCAAGATGGAAAGAAATGTCACTGTGCCCATATCTTTCTCTGTCTTCCCTCCATAGGAAAAGCGTTGCAAGAAGAGCAGATTGAAGGGGTAATGTAGCATAAGCTTTAGTATAGACACGCAGAGGATACATTCTTTCCAGAATGTTCTTCCACACAGAATGGTGTCATGTGACAACCTCTCTACACTCTGTGCCTGCCAGTGGGGATTTTTTTATAGACAAAAGTAACACAAACATTTAATTGGAGCCAAAATGAATTTTAAATGTCTACAGTTTCCCCTGAAAGATATAGTCAATAAAAGAAAAAGATAGCGGGTGTGAAAGGAGAAGAATTTATTGTGCTAAGGAAATTACTTTTTTTAAAAAAATTATGAGAATGCTAAATTCTGTCTGGCAGGCATCCTGCCTTTAACATGTATATTCAACTCTTAACAGTCCTGGTTCAGGCGAACTACACAACCTATGCGAAACACTCTGAATCAGGGCCGTCGCGAGTAGTGTTCAAAGCCCATAAATTTCCCAGTATTATGGGAAATTTCATTGAAATTTTGTTTTAGAATATGAATCTCCCTGTTACTACCTTTACAAAAGGAGACTACCACTGTAGATTGGTTTATATCTTCTTAAATTTATTGTTCTTAATGTCTAGTCAAAGTCTCTTTCCTTACAGGGAACCAAAGTAAAGGAATAATGGAGGTCACTAACAAACTAGCAGACCAACATTCAGCATGCATTATTGGAATACAAAAACTGGTTTAAAATGGCATAATTAGCTTTTTTTCTTTTCTTTTTTGGTACTGGGCATCAAACTCACTTGCCAAGCAAGCACTTGTACTACTGAGCTAAACCCACAGCCCCCATAATTAGCTTTTAAATATAAAAGAAAGTTGAAGGTTTTAATTTTGTAACATGTTTGTTGACATTCATGAACTATAAGCTAATATATAAAGTAGTAATATATATAGTAGTAATATATATATATATATATATGTGTGTGTGTGTGTATACACACATGTAAATGTGTTCATGTGTATATGTGTGGGGAATATATATATATATATCCATGATAGAAAAACATTCAGTGAAAATAACTTTGGAGTCAGTTTGACATTCTAGTTCTTGTGTAGTTTGTGGATTAATTTATACTCAGGTTTAGGTTTAGGACATTCACAAACTTTAAGAAGATGATGGCATTAATTACTAGATATATAGAATCCAGCTTCACACAGACAGTTCTTTAAATCAGTAAGTATTTGCTATAAAAATGGAGTTATTGTGAGTACATTCCTTTGCCCTCAGCGCCTCTTATGTTTCCTTTTAGAAATGCCCCTTGCCTTCCTTGCCGCACCTTTACCCTAAGTACAGCTTCAGCAGCACTAACCCATTTGCTGACTCTCTCCAGTTCAACGCTGACAAGGTTGGGTAATGCCCGTTGTCTTGCCATTGCTTTTTCAAATGTTTTGATCTTTGTTACTCCTGTGCTTTGTCCCAGTTCATTGTTTACCGCATTTAGGGAGGAAAAATTCAAAACAAAAGAACAACAGTGTGTTTGGAGTGGGCATGCAAATTTTCTTTAGAGATTACTTTTATAGCAGAAACTAAATACCCCTTTCTGAAGAGGAAAGGAGTAACCTGAGTCCAGTGCTTTTTTTGAATTTTGCTGTGATTTAAATTTTCTGATACCCAGATGTTTGCTAATTTGGAAAATGCATGAACTACTTTGACATACAATTTATTTAAAACCTTATATTGACTTAAAAACCTTTCAGAGTTCCACAGGATGGTCATAAAAGCTCTTGTATGAGTTAATCATTCCATAAATAATTGCATATGTCTACTGGCAGGAGTCTGTTGAATATTCATTAAGTGTGTCTGTGTAAGTGCCTGAATCAGGAAACTTAACAAGGGGCTGGGGATTTAGCTCAGTGGCATAAGCACCTGCCTTGTAAGCAGGCAGTCATGAGTTCGATCCCCCGGTACCGATAAAAAAAGAAAAAAAAAGAAAAAAAAAAAAAAAAAAAAGGAAACCTAACTGTTTCAAGGCTTCTAAATCTGTATTAATATATTCTCATATTCTGATAAAATTATAAAAACCAAACTTGAAACAAAAATTTACAAGAATTTGTATTTCATAATTTGATAATGGAAAGGAGGAAAGTTGTCAGTAATTTCTTTTAGGAAACATTTTATGAATAATCATCAGATTTTCTTGTTACTGTAATATGGATAAGCAAAGATGCCATTTCTGAAGGACTATGTTTTTTGTTACTGTAGGAATTACAGGATTCAAGTAAAAATATCTTCTACTGTTCCCCAACTAACCCTTTTGCTCCCACACCATTTAAGGTTTGTCTTCAATGTGAAATTTTTATAAATAAGTGTGTTAAAGTGTGCAATTTGTGTATGCTATGTGCATACCTGTCACTGAGTGATTTCAAGTGTACTTTGCATTTTTGCCCAAAAAAGGTTAAATGATCTTTGTTAAAATTTAAATTTTCCTCAATAAATTTTAGGGAGTGTTAATAGCATCCCAGTTGGATAATCTTGATAAAATGATGGTTCTAGTAGTACTAAAAAGAAGTCCTAATTGTGCCTCAAGTAAATACAGGCTAATAGTTTTGTGGCAAATCATCTATGTCAGTACACCACTTCAGTTTGTCACCAGTATGAAAGTAGTGTGATTAAAGCCTTGAACAACTTTTAAAATGAGCAGGTTTTGTTTCTTTGTCCCAAAGGAAAATAGCAGTCCAAAAGTCGTGCAGCTGGATTGGTAAAGATGTGTACCCACAGATATGTTAAAATTAATGGGAGTTTAACTTTAGATTTTGTTACACTTTTTAAAAATGAATAGACTTAATTCATTCTTGCTAAGTAACATTTCTATTATTACAGAAAATAAATTTTCTTTAAAAAGTTCTGAAGTAGATTTTTTATAATTTCTCTATCTTGTAAGATCAAATGAATTTGTTTGTATATTCATTTGAACTTGTGCATTATTAACTAGAGAACCATATTTGAGGAAATAACTGAGGTTTAATTTGCACTAGAAAATACTTGGTCAACGATTTGTGAATTGCATGTTTTAGTACAGCGAATTCTGTAACTTAACAGTTGATTGCCCTGAAGTGTCTATCAGTTGGCTTTGCTAGAAAATTGAGTGCTTTCTCATCATCAAAGAGAGATCACATTCAGTTTCATACTGTTTTAATGTTGGTATATTTTGTGGTATTGGGATTTTGGGCACCAACCAATGCCAAAACCAATGATTCCTAAGTATTTGTGCATCTGTATCATTTGTTATACATTTATTATTAGGTATAGTAATTTCTTTAAGACATGACTGTTTCTAGTATGAAGAAAGCAAGTTATGTGAGATGTATTTTTTTTTTCAGAAAAAAAGTAAAACAAACCATAGAAAAAATGGAAGTTGAAAATATCAGGAAAAGCTTCATACGAGGGCTTATGTGTCTAGTGGGTGTCTCTGACCACTGTCCTGTGCTATTTTACTGTGGAAATTAGAGGAAATGGTGTGGTATAATGCAAAGTACACCCATTATATTAAGAATTAAGGAAAAAGAAGCCTAGTACCACTGGGTGATTGTTGAATGAAATATTTCACTTCTCAGGACCTCAGATTCAAAAACATAGTTCATGTTCAAAATGCATGGACTCAGTGACTTAAATAAATTTCAAACACATTCTGTTTGATAATATCTAATATATGACCTTAATAATGCCAAATTCATTTTTTAAAAAATAGGACCTGTGGTCCTAAGTGACAATAAGTATGCCACATTTTGATTTTGTATGAAGTATTCTCTTGTGTTTGCTGGTTTACCTTGTGAACTACTTTTACAGAAAGATAGTGTTGTCCCTTAGAACCACACCTCTTTAGACATGTATCTGTCTTTACTAACAAACTGACTTCCCTGGTAGATGAATCTGCATGTTGGGTCTTTTTCACGGATTTGTTGAGAATTGTTTGGAGAGAGGATTCAGGTAGCAATAAAGATGTTCTTTACATATTGACTCACTAACAAGTTTTGAAGGACAATTTCCTTGTTAATATCTTTGCATTCTCTTCTTTGTCTCTTCGTTCTACTTCCCCTCCTCCTTTTCCTCCATCTGTTGCTCCTCTACTTTGTTTCTTGACAAACTTTATTAGACACCTAAATCTTGCACAGACCCCATGTATTTATAAATTTTGAGTGAGAATCTTTCAACAGAGAAAGTTTTGACAATTTTTTTATCTTAGGTCTTTTAAACTTTCAAATTGAATTACTCATTGACGTAATAGCACATAATAAATTGTGTTCCGATACTATTTGTGTATTTAAACTTTACCTGAATCCTATCTTAACATTTCATATATGCCTACATGAGCTTTCCATGGTTTGGTAGATATTTTAAAGGCATATTTTTAAATTTTTGGCATTGTACTTCTTTATTTCTTTTCATTAAAGTTGTGTTCCTTAGATTGCACATATTCATGACATTCTTGTCCCCACAGGCACCCAGTCACTCAGAGCCAGAGCCAGAGCCAGAGAAGGCTCTATTATGTGATGTTCTTCAGCCCTCTTCTTCAGCATTTGCAGAAATGAGCAGTGATCATGCACAATCAGCTGCAAGTGAAACCTCAGAGGATATGGACAAAGAGGATGAGTTTGGTTACAGCTGGAGTAAGTTGCCTTTTTGTGATGCATTTAATTATTAGCAGTATTAAAATAGCTTTGAGATTCTCAAAACATGTCTTATATGAATAGTATGTTTCAGCATCAATGACACATACTGCTATTTTTGTGTGAGGAAAATATTGTTTGTTTTAATTGAATACAACGTACAACTGTAGGCATAAAATGATATTTTTCCTTTCCTTTAAAACTGCATTGCTATTAAAACTCCTTTGCTCTTCATAGGAGAATTGACAAGGACAAGGCATTTTCTCAGAACAGTGAACAGAATCAGCTATCTTATGGTTTGGATATCTAGGCCTTTGATTTCTCCTTATAAAGTTTCCTGGTTATTGATCTTATACCTGAAACTTGTGATATTTTCTGCACTAGTATGGTAACATAGTATAATGTTTAAAATCAGAACCTTAATGTGCATTGGTTGACTGGGTGGGCTGGCCTGGACTCTGAGGTGACTCATTCACACAGCTAGAGTTCAGTGCTGCTACTAAATGCTCACTCATCTAGGGCATTGGAACAGAGAGCCTACTTGTGGTCTCTTAGATGAAAGGAAGCAGATCATAAACTCTGCCCTTGAAGATGTGGAGTGGAAGATGCAAATGTTTTCATCTAGTTAGAACACGTCTCAAAGCCGGAGCAGTTAACATCAGTATGCTCTGGCCCACTGGTTCTATGCAATAAGAAAACTCACTCCCTTCATTGTGGATATATATGAACCAGGTAACTCCTCATCATGAGATAATATATAATGTAGATTTCACATTTCCCACTGATCAGTCAGTACAAATGTCCTACATGCTTACTTGCTTTGCCCTACAAATGATAAAATAAATTTCTCTTTCAACTGTAGTCTTTTGAGAGTTTATAAATGTGAAAATCACTTCTCTTGGGTCTAATTATATTAAAGTGAGTGTGTTAACTGGAAATTGTGGTCTCACACCCTCGATGCAAAGAAATTCCTCAAAGTTTAGGTATTCTGGGAAACTAGTTCTCATGACCGAGCAGCCAGTCTTTCTTGTAGCTCCCAAAGATGATATTTTTGTACAAACAATGCCTTTTTGACATAAAACCAAGCAGTGTACCATGATAAAGTATATTTGGCTATGAAGTAGCTTTCAATACATGCAGTATTGTTATTGTTTTTGTGTGTAGAAAATATCATTGAGCGCTATGGAACCCTAACAGGCAAGCTCCATATGATTGAACTGGAGAAAGGTCTTAGTGGTTTGGGCCTAAGTCTCGCTGGGAACAAAGACCGAACCCGAATGAGTGTCTTTATAGTGGGAATTGACCCAAATGGAGCAGCAGGAAGAGATGGTCGATTGCAGATTGCAGATGAACTTCTAGAGGTAAATTCTCATGAACAACTTTGAATTTTTTCTTACTATATCAGAATAATAAAATCTCCAAACTCCAGAAAATACCCAGACCTCATGTGTTGACTGAGAAAACTGTCACTGGCCTAATAAAATAGATGTATTGCAGCCACTTTGACACTAAACCAAATCTCCGCTCTGTGAGTTATCAGTAGTTTCCACTAAAAGGCCATGACTATGTAGCACCAGAAACAGTTTTTGCTTCAAGACAGTAATAAAAATCATACTTCAGAAACATCTTTGTGCTGCATTTTTATAAGGAGTTTTTGGAAAGTGAAGTGACTAACCATTCCCCAGTCATGATGTTAATCCACTGGACATTCTGGATGTTGAATCCTTGAAGGATACATGGTGCAGGTGAGGTAAAGTGGATTCTGAGGTTAAGCTAAAATAACCCATGAAATAACTCAGCCTGCCAAACAAAATAAACCTGTGAACCAAACGTAATAGCATTTAGAATTTTATTTGTTTATGCTATTTGTCCTGTTGACAGCATCCACATATCTGTAGATTGCATTTATACTCTTCCCTGTGCTTGATTTTTTCCTGTAGGCTAGGTAAACTCACATAGCCAAATAACAGGTGACTGAGCTGTCCATTTCTGTTGGGTGCTGTGCTGCTTGGGCACAGCGTGCTGCCTGCATTTTGAGTCTCCCTAGCTTGCTTCTCCTCTTGACCTGCTTTGGGGATTTGAGTCTTGAGAGCAACTGGGAAAGGGAGAATAGCAGATTTCCCAAGATGGTCTTTGTAGGTAACACAGGCGTTACTCTGTAAAGCAAGTCGGAGTTCAGGTTCTGTGAGCTGGCTTGCTGACCACTCTCCTATCGTTGATCCAAATGGTACTTCTTCCAATACTTCCTGGATGTCTGATGTTGTGCACATCATTTTAGTGTTGGCTTTGCACATCAGCTTTTTGTTTTTTCACATCAAAAGTCAGACTCATGTTCTACTGAGGAAAATACATAAAACATTTTAAGGAAAAAACTTACTAGCTAGATAAAATGGTAAAAACAGAGTTAAAATTTGTGGCTTCACCAGTGATACTTAATTTTCACAGATCAATGGTCAAATTTTATATGGAAGAAGTCATCAGAATGCCTCATCAATTATCAAATGTGCCCCTTCTAAAGTAAAAATAATTTTCATCAGGTGAGAATTTTGTTTTACTGGTCTACTGAATATTTTTGTTAACATTTAAACTCAAGTTCTTTTGAACAAAAAGAAAACGTTTGTGTGTGTGTGTGTGTGTGTGTGTGTGTGTGTGTGTGTGTGTGTATAAAACTGTTGTAGTTCTGAGTCTTTAGAGTTAGAGGATTTTTTCAGTATTTGACTCTTGTAAGTAAGAGTATGGAAATAATATTGTGACATTTTGGATTGATGCTCTTTTTGCTTTTAGAAATAAAGATGCAGTGAGTCAGATGGCTGTATGTCCCGGAAACACAGTAGAACCTATGCCTTCTACTTCAGACAGTCTTCAAAATAAGGAGGTATTAGTACTGATGTTTACTTTACTGGAAAGATTTGATTGATGATATACCTTATAAATTCAGTTAACCATTATATACCATTTACAGGGATAAAAAGATAAGTGAATTAGCAGTTTGTTGTTGAAGAATGTATAGCATAGTAAACGTGACACTCATGTGAGTAAGCACAGCACTGCGTGTAGGCTGACTTTAGGGTCCGCATAGGCAACAGCATGAGTGGGAAGGAGGTGTCAATTCTGCCTGTAGGGAAGGATGAGAATACAACTAAAATAAGGAAATAAAACAGGGTATACAAGTGTCTGAACATAAGAATAGAAAATACTGGAAAGAGGAGCAAATGTTACAAAACTGTATGCATTCCATGGAGGCAGCTTAAGAAGGAAATGCCTGTTGGGATGCCTGGCAGAAGCATACATTGGGACATTTGGTCTTGAGTGTAGAGATCAATTCCAGTAGGTAGAGATTTCTCACTTATTGGTCATGGAGGTTGAAGCAGTTGCCTACAGAGAGCATTTAGGAAAAACAAGAAGGCTTCTATGTTCTCATGTAGTGTGGACAGTCAGCAGAAAGCCTAAAAGAACTCAGGGAAGATAATACAGCAATAGAGGAGAGCATATTTCAAGAAGAATATGTTCCATGTTCTTGAAAGCTACGGAGAGGCCCAGTAAGAGGATGATGAAGGAGATTCTCTGGATTGGGTAACTAGCAGAGTATTGAGAAAGCAATGAAGAGATTTTGGGAAAGCAAATTACATATGAAATTAAGGCGAGAGAGAGAGAGTAGTGGTTACAGGGCAACAAAGAAAGAGATTATTGATGATAGTTTTGATTTTGATAAGCTTCAGATCCATGTATAAGAGGGATAAAATGTGTTTACAATCCAAATACTCTGGGAGGCTGAGGCTGGAAAATCAGGAAAATTGTGTTAGTTACCTTTCCTGTACCTGAGACACAATAGCCCACAGCCACAATTTTAAAAAGAGGTTTAATTCTGCTCACAGAGTTATGGAATTGGCTGGCTCCAAGGCAGGAACATATCCAGGCCATGGCAGAGCAAAATGCTCTGTTCACTGTGACCAGGGAGTAGAGCGCAGACCCACAGAGGAAAGAAAAAGATGCCAAGTGAGGGACATCAGTGGGGAAGGACAGGGCGGAGCAAAGTTGATTAGTTCATGTGGCCAGGAAATGGAGAGAACACAGGGAAGTAGACCCAGAGTGGAAAGCAAAAGGGGCCAGACATAGACCTTAAGATTGAATCTATGCACCACCCCCAACACACTAGATATATACTCTACTAACCCCATAGATGGATCTCAGAGCCAATAAAGTTGACAGTACACCTTAATGGTTACATAAATTAAAAGGGCTGGGATGTAGCTCAGGGCAGTGTCCTGGGTACCATGTAAAAATGAATGAGTAAACGTAATGGAGAGAGAACTTACAATTAGAGGAGCCATGGTTATTATTAGTAAAACAATCTTTCCTGGACGGATGCGTAAGCATTGGTATATAAGGTAAACATATAGATCACTTTCTGATTGTGATTGCCTCTGATTTTGAACTGAATAACATTATTATGTAATATAGGTGATTTATAAAGGAGACTTTTATTTTCCTATTAATTTTACTAAATATGATCCTTAAGAAAATGACGTATCTTAACAGTTTTCAGCATTTATTAGTTTCTGAATTCACTTGATAGATAACACAGAAAGATTAATAATGGCACTTAAGCCAGAGTTCTGTGTCTCACTGTATTTCCATTAAGTAACTGCTGCTGTTAGATTTCATTATGGGGTAAATCCTGGCTGACTTCCAAACTGCTTAGTTGTTTTTGCTCAAACAATTGCTGTCCAATCACTCCTCCTAAGTGCTTTAAAAGAATACAGTTCTCATAAATTCCATAAGATATTAAAGCAGTGAATACTGAATTGTACTATATGAAATAATTCTGATTAGGTGGACCTTAAGCAAACAAGATACACTAAATTGCCTTTCGCGATTTCTTTTCTGTCAGGTAGAACCAAGTGTTTCTGCTCCTGATGCAGCTGTGGACCTCAGTTCATTTAACAGTGTGCGTTATCTGGAACTTCCCAAAGTATGTGTACCTCAAGTGGGAGAGCAATGGTGGACACACCCTCACACTCTTGTTCCAGCTCTGATTCTCAGACACGTGCTCTGCAAACCAGCAGTCTTGTTAGGAGAGCACATGCCCTGTACCCACTCAGACCCAGTTTAAATTGTCCTTTCTCTCAGCTTATCTAAAGCCCACAGACAATGAAGACCAGTTTAAATATCACCGCTGTTTATTTTTAAATATTTTTTGATGTTCTGGCCTATGTAATACTGTTAATATCTTCATGTGCATGTTGCTTAACCATGTGTGACCTAAGAGCAGGTCTTTTTCTGGTGGCTTCCCTGTGGGTATGTTTTCTTTGCATCTCACATGCACACATACTGATTCTTTTTCTTTCTAATCTTGTTCTTCTTTGAAAATGAGGAAACAGAAGTATAAGGAAAATGTTTTAGTGTATATAATCTAAACCTTCAGTGGCTGACTGAAATGCTACCTTAACTTATTGGTAACATTTTTTAAAGATCACAATTTACTCCAGAAGAGTGCCACAAAGCAAATACAACCTTCTTTACCTTTTAGAGATTTGTGTAATAGTCGTGCAATTGTATATGCTGAAAACCTGTAAATACAGTGAACAGTTTTTTTGCTGCTGAATTTTAGAATATCTTCAACATTCAAAAGGTCCTCTGGAAAAATAACAGTTCGTTTCGGTTAATCCCAGTTCTAATTCTCATTTACTCATTCTAACTGCTTAATTATGCAACTCTTCCTCCCTCTGTAAGCATCCTGCCTATAATAGTATTTTAATTAATGCTGAAGAGCAGTATTTTTCAGGTCTTTTCTTGCTGACAACTGTATATACTCTGAAGTAATGTGAACAGTTGAGGCGTTAGATAAGAAATCGTACTTTTAAAGCTCTTATATCCATTCTTATATGATTTCCTTATGTCCATTCTTATATTGGTATTTTCTGATACCAAAAATTTACAGATATGTATGCACATACTTACTTTCCTAATATACTAAGTGGATTTAGGGCATGCAGCTTTGTAGCTTATTGTTCCTTTTAGGACTCCTGCTGTTGCAAATTACAAACAATTTCAGAATTAGTCAAATACTAATTCATCAGGCTTCATCAAAGAAGAGAATTCTGTGTTCTCAAGTAACTAGCCTGCAGTCTTCAGGAGTAGATGATTCTGGGATCGGTGGGGTCTTAAAGAATCAGTTCTTTCCTTCTCTGTACAGCCATGCACAGTGTCAGCATTACCCTAAGGCTAGTCTTCCTGTGGTTCTTGAATGGCTGGCAAGCACAGTTAAGTCTGTGTGCGGCCTCTTTTTAATATTGTTGGGGGGACATAGTTCCAGCATTCTGAAAAAAGTCCCAAATTCAACCTAATTAAGTGAGTCTAGATCACTTACTTATTCTTCATCTAGGGATTATGGCCATGGGAATAGATTTATAGGGTGAATTTAAATCATTTGGAGCTACTTATGCAGTATTATATAACAAATCACAATAAAACTTAACAAGTTTAAAACAACAGATACTTAGTGTCTCACAGTTTCTGTGAGTCTTGAATATAGGACCAAGTCAGCTGGGTGGTCTGGCTCAGAATCTTTCATACAATTGCTGACAAACTGCCAGATAGGGCACTTACCTAAAGGTTTGCCTGGAGCTGGACAACACTTACAATGTGATTTTCTTGAATTTACTGTTGGTAAGAGGCCTTATTTTCTTTTCACAGGTCTGCTTGAGTGTCTTCATGACACAATAGCTGACCCCTCATTCAGTAAGTGATCCCAGAGAAAGAGCAAGAAGCAGGCTTTGCTACCTCTGAAATTATATATCATCATTTCTGCTTTATCCTGTTAGAATCAAATCTGCAAGCCCAGCCGGTGCTATTGCACTGGGCGTCTTGAAGGGAATAGCAAATGAGTGCTTTTCTGCTCTTGCTACTACCCTCTCACTAGTATGTGGAGGAAAGACTGGGGGTGAGTTGAGAAAGGATGAAGGTGAGAGACAGAAGGGGAAGAGTGGCAGGGGCTGGGGATGGGTTTCCAATGAAAATCTGCTGATTCTACAGAGTGGTAAGATAGTAATGAGTATTAGGGAAGAAATCAGCAAATGGTTGCTTACTGTACCAAAAAGGAACTTTTAGGAGTGTTGGTATTATTATTATTGTTTTGTTTTGTTTTGTTTTGTTTTTAGAAATAAAGTTTTGCTTTGTGTAGGTAAGAAAATTAAGGTTTAGAGATGTGGCATATTTAAAATTTTTTTCAGCCAGGTAGAAAGTGAAAAAGAAACTTGTGAAGTCTTCTCTGTCTCACACTGATTACTGATTGGCTAAAGAAGGTAGTAGGAGGAGATGCCCAATAACCATGTGCAACACAGCAGGCATTAATAGCCTTACTGAGAAAAACCAGTGTTGGTCATCTTTAAAATAATAATGAAAACTTACCTTGATGTCATAGTGCGTGACCACGACTATCCGAGTGTAATCTCTGCTCTTGTGTGTGTTTCAGAGAAATCATGACAAGATTCCCTTTTCTTTTTTTCCCTTTGCATATTTTTCCTGAATAAAAACTAAAATGTTACAAGCTATAGCCAAAATGAAAACTCAAAACTCTATTTTAATTTTATTAAAACAAACATTGAAGAAAGGTAAGACAACTATTATTCAGCATATGGTTTTGATAAACAATGTATGGGAAAAAAATAGACCAAGTAGGTGTAGTTCTCCAGTGTTGGCAGATTTCCAGGGCATGTTTCTGGGCTCAGACATTTTCACTCTGCAGCAAATCAAAAATGCTCTTCTATAGAGAGTGAGTTCTTGGCGTTCCATCCCGAAAGGACAAAGTATGCACCACTAATTACATCTTTCTTGTGGAAGAGGAAGTGTGGCAGAAAAGAATGAAAGAGTCAGACTTGGTTGTTATTTTTAAGCTCCAGAAAGAGAGGAAGCAGGATACTTTGGTTGTTTATGAGTGGCTAATTCAGACAGTCAGTTACACAAGACTAAATTTGCAAGTGCTAAATGTTTTAGTTGAATTATTGAATACATTTTTACTATCTGGATATTTTGCTACAGTTACTAAAGGTGTCAGACATATGGGAGAATGAAATCACTTGACTGTTTGAAATTACTTGACGGTTTGAATTTTTTCTTTGGAAAGATCCAAAAGTTTGCTTAAGAAGACATTCTAATAGTGAACTTTGAGTTTTAATTGCCTTTGTGGCCCTTTGGTAGAAGGGTATAGATAGAAGTTATAGGTATAAACCTCTTCATTTAGATACAGCTAATATGTTCCAGGTTTTCTGAGTACTGTGTTCTTGTTTTTCGTTCTCTAGGATCAGGGAGGGTTGGGTATTGCTATCAGTGAAGAAGACACGCTCAATGGAGTCATCGTAAAGAGTTTAACAGAGCATGGGGTAGCAGCCAAGGTGAGGCTTTATCATTCTCACTGTCATGAAGTGACAGAAAAGGGAATTGCTGCTGAATATCACTCAAAATCAGCTACCTTTCCTTTTAGGATGGACGCCTCAAAGTTGGAGATCAGATCTTAGCTGTAGATGATGAAGTTGTTGTTGGCTATCCCATTGAAAAGGTACTTTTCCACAATGAAGTGAATAGTACTGTTACCTCGTGCTTGGATGTGGCTGAAGTGTATGCATATGAGGAGGAAATCATTGGGAATTAGGGCTGAGGTACCTATACCAGAATTATTCTTACGGAAAAGAAGAAATTACTGGTAATATCATCAATTCCTATCTTGTTTTCCAATAAAAGTGAAGTTAAGATATTCACTATTGTTTGGATAGATATTTTTGGTATTCACTGGACATTTTTGATAAATGTGGCTTCTACTTTCGCTCAGAAAAACTTGAAACTCATAAACAGCAGCTCACTTCATATTATGACAAAGGGCATTTTTCTTATTAATATTCTCATATATATATATATATATATATATATATATATATGTTATACTTTGCCTTAGACTGAGCTATTACATGGATTTTAATTTTGAACATTTCTTGTATCTGAGTTTTTGCTTCAAAAATAATCATACTTGGAGTCATATGTGTCAGAAAAAAACTTTGTTTTTTCCAGAGATATACTTTTGTTTTTTCTCCATTATAGTGAGGGAAAAAACATGCCACTGATCATAATTACATTTCCATATTGGCTAGCAGGAAACTAAAAGCAATTTTTAATTCAGTTTTAATAATTTTATAGGTTGTATCCTTTAATCTGTACATTTATGTTTTTCTTTCTAGCTGGCTAGATTTTTTTTTTGTTACATAACTTTCCTATCTTGCTTTTAACACAAGCATTCCTCTGTCTCTATTGTATTGAGTGTTTGTGTAAGATGCTTCAGGTTCTCTCTAGAATCAAGAAGTAGATGAAATACCTTATATATTTCCTAAGGTTGTAGTCATCCAGAAAAATACATGAAAGTAATTAGAAATGTAAAATTTTGAAAACCCTCTACTTACGCAAGAAAGACTCTGATCAAAGCAGGACTTAGGGTAGAAATTAGCTATGGCCTTAATCTACGTTAGGCATTTGGAGTAACTACGGAAATACTAAAACCATTTTGTTCTTGATATTCAAATCCTGACAAGAAATCACTTCCCTCTGTTTCTTTTTATTCAATAATAGATTAAAATTAGATTCAAGTAAAACTGGTGACTTATATTTATATAGGTCTACTAATTTGTCTTTGAATTTTGTTTCCCTTCTACACCAACACCTTGGCAGTTTATTAGCCTGCTGAAGACAGCAAAAACAACAGTAAAGCTGACCATTCATGCTGAGACTCCAGATTCCCAGACTTTTCTTTCAGCAACTGATGCAGCCAGTGGAGAAAAAATGAACAGCTCGCAGTCTCCAGTGGCCTCACAGTCTGGCTCCCCGGAAGTGGAACCAGAGTCTGTCAGAAGTAAGGGCAGAGCTCGAGAGTCCTCTACACATGGCAGACTCAGCCAAAGATCCCTGGTTGAGAGCTGGCTGCCTGCCTGTAGTTCACTGTCTGAAAGGAGTTAGTCATGTAATGCTTTGGAGAATGGACAGTTTAAAGACAAGGGCTCCTGAAGAGAATCCTGGACTGTGAGGCAGGAGATCTGTGTACCATAAACTACTCATGGTACCCTAGGAAACCCACCCTCCCATTTTGCCTAAACCTCTCCTCTCTAAAACCAGTGCGTCTTTGCTTTCCCTTTCTTTTGCTGAGGCCACCTGTCATCCCAGATAACAAACAAATGACTTAGAAATATTATTTTTGGAGAATCTTTTTTAATACTGACAAACTAAGCTTTTCTAAAGCTTGCTTTTCTTATCGGTAGAGTGGATATCCAGTGACCTTAATAGATAGGATATCAGGACTGATTGCCACTAAACAAACTCTCATGCTACATGCACTGTAGACCTGAGTTCTGTGATTAGGGTACACTAGAAGACCACATTGGTGCACTTGGAAATGTGTGAATCACGGGAAGAAACTTGAGTGTAGCAGTAAACTGCCAGTCTAGTAAATGAAAACAAATTATTCCTCTAGTTACACGGTAGAAAGAAACACTGATGTGCAACAAAGTAATTTCAAGCTCTGCAGCATAGATATTTTTGAAAAGTGATCTAAACAAATTCACTTTTTCTGCAGTTGATGAGGATCTCTGATAAAAGTAGTTCTATCTTTAGAAAGAATAGATAATTTACTTAGGTGTGAAAACATTTTGTGGAAATGTTCTCATTTTTCAACTTTATGTTCATCCTTAAATAACATTGTCTATAAAAATATTAAATGCTAAATTAAAACTTAGCATAAAAGAAAATATCTTACACCTGTTCCTGCCTTTTCAGGAAAAGAAAGTAATCTGTTTCTGATTTTCTAAAAAGAACATCTTGTCTAAAGCATATGCTACTTTACTAAGTGATTTCCCAGAACATGTGATTTGCCTTCTATTCTTTGTTATAATAATCAAATATATGATAAACTTTTATAAAAAATGTAGAATACTATTCTCTTTATTTTTTCATAATATATTCAAGTTTGAGCTGTGCCCCAGAGTTTGATGTAAGAATTTATAAAACATTAGGTGAAAAAAAAATTAAGTGAAGATGAAAAAGCCCATATATATGGAATTGATTAGATAAGAAAAGAAAAATGCTTCAGGGTAAGATAAAAGCAATATAGAAAGCTCAAAAGAGCAGGTACTGTAACCAAATTAAATGATGTGTTTTGTGGTCTTCTAATGTGCTTCTGAGTTCCTGTCACATATCTCAGTTGTGAGTTTTACAAATGTTTATTTCATAGTGTTTGTCTCTAGTGAAATATAGAGTATCAAGTGAAATTTAACATTCAACCCTTTGTTTTCACTTTACACCCAGTCCTTGTTTCTAACAATTTAAAAAATACAAAAAAGTATAAAAAAAATGAAAGAGGTAATTTTATATCCACTGCTTAAATTAACAGTGATGATTTAGTTTTGATATTAAACATTGATAACTAAAACACAACACACATATGCAGTCACTTTGTTTCCCAGTTTGGGACTTGTTTTCCCACTCCATTGCTTATATACAACCTGTGTGATGTATAAATTTGAAATATATGTCTTATAATCAATTCATATTTACATTTTAGTTCTTCTTTAATTTATTTTAGGTACAAGCAGGTCTTCAACACCAGCAATCTTTGCTTCTGATCCTGCAACCTGCCCCATTATCCCTGGTTGTGAAACAACAATCGAGATTTCCAAAGGGCGAACAGGGCTGGGCCTGAGCATTGTTGGAGGGTCTGACACACTGCTGGTGAGTGTTACTATGCACGGGTGCCTCCGGCATGTGGGCAATCGTCAGACCACCCTAAGGACCATGACCAGGAAGGTTTATAAGAGTTTTATTAAATTAAACATAAAGTCTGAGGAAATATATAGCTCCTTCTCATTTTAATGTATACAGTACCTATTCAGTAGGCTACTAGGATTATTAAGCCAGTTAAGCCAGTACTGACTCATCAACTTCTTAGGGTTGTGATCTTTAGTTTATAAAGTGTTTCTATCAGTTTATCAGTCCTTGACATATTTTAATTTCCTATTTACTAATATCCACCATAGATTTGACCTAAATTGAGAGGCATCTAAAAAACTGAATTATTTGAGGATAACATTTTCTAAATGTTAAAAATACTACAAAATTATTTCATTTGTAGCTAGGCATGGTGATACATATTATGATATTGATATATATGATTTATATGTTGCATATTTTTTCTTTGAACTTATCTAGGAAAGTATGTTTTTATTGCCTTTTATCAAAAGTTGTATTATCATATATTTCTTTGAATTATGATATTGACCCTCTTATGGTTGTCAGTAAAAGTAGGGTGCATTTGAGCTTAATATTTTCTTGCTACTCCTTGGTGAGAACGGGATAAAGCCTGGGTATATTGTTTTTGGGTCCCTAGGGTGCCATTATTATCCATGAAGTTTATGAAGAAGGAGCAGCATGTAAAGATGGAAGACTCTGGGCTGGAGATCAGATTTTAGAGGTACAAGATGCTTGCTTCAGCTTGAAAAATAATAAAGAAAGGCCCTGGGAGGGTGTGCATTTCTTTCTTTACTTCTTTTTTCCTTTCTTCTCTTCTTCTTCCTCTTTTCCTATTTTGACTGAGCTCATCTGTTTCCTCACTATGCATATCCCATATTCGTATAGGTAAATGGAATTGACTTGAGAAAGGCCACCCATGATGAAGCAATCAATGTCCTAAGACAGACGCCCCAGAGAGTGCGCCTGACACTCTACAGAGATGAGGCTCCATACAAAGAGGAGGACATGTGTGATGCCCTCACGGTTGAGCTGCAGAAGAAGCCAGGAAAAGGCCTAGGACTGAGCATTGTTGGTAAAAGGTGTGCCTGGGGGAACAAACTCAAGGACCTTTTGGAAATAACTATTGTAGAAAAATCAATATTAAACCAAATGGAAGACTCTGCACTGAGGAGTCTGGAAGGCAACTTTATTTTTTTTTTTGGAGGCGGGGGGGTCTTTTTCCTTTTTATCAGTACCAGGGATTGAACTCACGACCGCCTGCTTGCAAGGCAGGTGCTTATGCCGCTGAGCTAATCTCCAGCCCCGGCAACTTTATTTTTAACACTGGGGAACTGAATCAGAGTTCAAATCAGTAGCCAGTCACCAGTCAGCTTAGAGTTCAATTTAAGTACATTTTGCAAAAAGGAAATACAGGATTGATGACAGGTTATCACATGATTGGTTACATGAATTGTCATATGTTGTCAAGCAAGCTAGCACTAAGTAGATTTACTTAAAAGGAATTGTCTATCATAAGGCAGGAGAAACCAGGGAGGAAGCTGGGCTGAGGGAATGGTTGAAACTAACCATGTCCTTGACTAGTTTATCTCAATTGGACAGTTCTTGAAAGTAGAGTATGAATATATGTATGTCAGACAGTATAGGCAGTCCAGATGGATGTGGTCAGACTGAGTCAGGTTGGACTATCTCTAAGTTGCAGCTGATGTGTCAGTTAAGGCTGAGTACAATGGTTTAACTATGTGACAAGCAGCACTGGCATTGTTACAAGCTGCTAATTGATTTTTAACTTCTGCTATAAAATGTCTGTAAGTTTGCTGTTCTATAGTTCTGCCCTTCTGGAGCAGAGTCTTTATCAGTGGCTCAAATTTACAGGTAGCTGTGCTTGAATCATTCACTAATGGAGCATGGAAAACATTTTAAGTCAGTATATTGGGGAATTTTGAAGGTCCTTTTGATGTTTTTAAGATATGATTCCTGAGCGCAAAAATGCTTAATCTAGTGGACAAGAAATATGTTCTAGCAAAAAATGATCTGTTTATGAGAGACAAATGCATTGTGAAATCATTGGTAATAGAAACATATGTAAGTAACCATAGATGACTAAACATTAAAGGTGTCTTTATTCTAAAGAAAGAAAAATAGATTTAATACTCAAGGACTAATTATTAAGTCCCATCTTTACCATTTACTAGCTACCTGACCCATGAAAGAATAGTTGTACTCACTTTTATTCACAGTATATAATTGAGAAATGCATAAATTCTTATGAAAATCTTTTCAATCTGTGAAATACTATAAAAGATATTTGTTACAAACTCTATTCCAGTAATTTTGCTTAGCATTCATAATAATAAACTAAAAAATCCATTATAAATTTCCATTATAAAAAGTGATAGAATAGGCATTGATTGCATTACAGTTTAGGAAAAATAATATTCAAAACTGAAACTGTTTGTAGGAACGATACTGGAGTATTTGTGTCAGATATTGTTAAAGGAGGAATTGCAGATGCTGATGGAAGACTGATGCAGGGAGACCAGATATTAATGGTGAATGGTGAAGATGTTCGCAGTGCCACCCAGGAAGCTGTTGCCGCTTTGCTAAAGGTAAAAATCAAATCCTAAAAATAATTTTGTGTAATAGTATGCAAGAAGAAAGAGAATTTAACATGTTTAATTAGTGACTTTTTTTTATCTCCAGAGTAATCTCAAGTAGAACATGCTATCATATTTCAATAAAAGAGTAACAAATAATAAACGTATGATTAGCTGGTTAGTTTGTTGTTATATATTTACTTAATGATAGTAGGAATTGCTACCCAAAAGTCTAAACCATTAGTTAATCTGTTTTTTTTTTAAGGTGTTTTGTGTGAAATCTTTATTTCTCCATGGTATTTCGGAATTTATTCTTACAGACTGATTTAAGGGAGACTATCATCTGGCATACAGCTGCTCTTCGCAATGTGATTTGGAAGCAGTGTTCATTGGGTGCAGATTGGGAGATTATGTTTGGGGCTTGCCTTTCTCAGCTCCTTCCTTAACTCCTTTTTAAACTCAGTAGAGTTAACATCTTTCTGAATAATGATGAATAAAGTAACAAAGAATGTGTGCTAGGATCATTTTATTTTTCATGCTCTATAGAAGGGAATGTTTGTTTGAAATCCTAGTCTGACTCAAAATGAGCCGTTTTAAAGTTGATGTTTAAAATCAGGGTTGGATATGTCATTCTGATAATGAAGGTGATTCTTTGCATATTCATCTGACAACAGGCTGTCTGGGGATTACTTCACACATTGTAAAATCTCATTTCTAGGTACCACTGTAAGCTCTGTTACATGATACCTTATAAAATAGATTTCCTCAGGCCAGGGATTTAGATCAATGGCATAAGCACCTGCCTGGCAAGCATGAGATTGTGAGTTCGATCCTCGATATAAAAAAAAAAAAAATAGATTTCCTCCAATGAGAACTCACCTTGAGGATCATTTTCTGATGAGAGGTAGGACTAGTCTCATTTTAAAAATGGATTGCTGAATAGTCACTTAAAAATCTAGTTCTTGAAATTACAAATATATTCCCTGTCAGGGAACATTACATTGCCTAGAGAGATTTGCATTCCTTATAGGTAAGGAAGACAGTGATGTATCATTGTTTCCTTTCCCCTAACGTGTTTTTTACCTGAAGAAGTACAATTCAAAATTTCCTAGAAGGACATCGTCAGTAGCCATGTCCTGGGTACATGCTGATAGGAGCTTATAGAATAGTACAGTACTTCTACTGCAGCTGCCAGGTCTGTTGGTAGTGGTCGCTTCTCAATGACTGGATTTCATGAATGAGTGTTCTAGCCAAGGTTCTTCTTATTAGTCTCTGGTTTGGATAACATCTGGCATATGAATGCATATGTAAATTCAGTTATTTACAAAGCACACATTAAAAACTTTCATTTCTTGGAGTTGTCAGTCATCAAAACAAAGTAATCAGCACTTTCAAGGAAGAATAGCTTTCTTTTGGAGATAGTTTAAAAACAACAATTAGGTTCATAAGACTGGTATATTTTAAAGAGAAGGAAATACCCTAAAAATAATACGAATAATAAATTAATTTAGCCATTTTCTTTTTCTTTTATTTAAAGAGAAAAACAAAACAGTAAAAGGCTACAAGTAATACAGAATTTCAAGAGCAAAAATATACAGTAAGAATTCACTAGCTAATAGATTACATGTTGTCATCTCAGAAACAGTTGTCCAGGTTACAGAATTAAAGCATACAAAGTAGACATTAATACAATGAGATTGCAGATAGTTCTGTTCAATGATCCAACAAATACTCAGTAATACGGTTTTCTATCCTACACACTTAATTATACTTGCAGTTATATCCTTTAGATCACTTTCTTTCCTCTCTTTTTTATGCTAACAATCACACATTTTGAGTTCCATTACTCCTACAGTTTTTATAACTTTTTCTTTGAAGAGGAAAAAAAACATAAAACAAGAAACAGAACAAAACAAAACAGAACAACAACAACAAAAAAAACCCAATGTGACAAAGCAAAACAGAGTCAGAACAGGAGGATGGACATAGTATATAATGCAAAAAGAGATTACTAGGTGATCAATAATGGTTACCATTGTGCCTCTTGTTATCCTAAAAAGAGTTGCCTCTATCAGCTGATGTGAAAGAATTGGACAAAACAGTACATAACAAGACCAATAAAACCCACATTGGAGACCTTACTGGACTTCCAAAGAAAATAATAGTCAAACCATAATGGGCATCATAGAATGTCTGGTTGCCTTCAAAGTGGTTGCCTATACTCTCAAATTTGATACTGTTAAACAAAACAGAATATAATAAAATCAGTCAGAACAAGATGTGGAGAACAATACAGGGGTTCAAATCAGGTTAATAGGAAAACAAAAAAGTTAATACATCCCATTATTTTTAATTTAGTTTTCCCTTAATTAAAAGATACTAAGAAGTAAATTAATTTTTAAAAAAAGAAAAAAGTGGGGGAGATAAAAAAGAACATATCAATAGAACAACACAGGTCAGAACCAAACAATTTAAGCATCATTGTGTTTCACCACCAGATAGCCTGACATTAATAGTAGTTACCATAGTGTCTCTTTCCTTGAAATATTTGAGTCTAACTCCGTATACTGTGGCATCAAACTTATCAAGACAGTGTGAAACCATTCAAGAGAATGAAAGTATTGCAGGGTATTTAGAACCAGCTAACAGAAACCGAACATCGGTTTCTATTTATCTCTTTGCCTATAAAAAATTTTGCTTATACTGTTGCATACATTAAAATATAATAAGATACAACATGTTAAAACCAATGGAAACAGACGAACAACAACTTGATGGGGCTTCAAAACAGGATGATATTAATTCAGCACTAGCTATTACGCTGTCTTATTTTCTTCAAAATAGCTATTTGTAGTATCACAGACAATAAAATAAAACAACCCAGATTAAAACCATTCCAGTTAATGAGTGAAAACATTATATGGCTTCAAACCAGTGTGACTGGGAATCAGGATTGCTACATACTTCAAAAATAGTTAGCAGTGTATTATTGGAAGTTTGACCAGACTGCTTATCTCCTAAGATAAGTGTACAAAGAAAGTCTAAGTAAAAGAGACAAGTAGTATGTTTTTTGGGGTCCTAGAAAGTTATAATTTTCTTGGAGTTAAGACAAAGACATCTCTGGATAGCCTGTATTTGTTGGATTTCAAACAAGTTCAGGGGGAGAGGGAAGGTTGGCATGAGGAAAAGTAAAGGAAAAAACTGAGCTAAAGGCAGGAAAGATGCAGGGCCTTGAGAAATCAGAACAAAGACATTTTGTAGGCAGTATATCTTGTTAAATTAGGAGAATTATCTTGTCTCTAAGGTTGGCAATTGATCCCTCTGGAAAGAAAATGAGAGTCTTCCCTCAGCTGTGGTGTCATCCTGTCTTCAAAGCACCGTGGTCAGCAGCTTAGCCTTTTCCCTGCCTGGTCTCCAACAGTATATAATGAGAGGCTTATTTATGTAACTTACATGTCTTTGCTTCTGCTTATTGTTTTGACTTAGAAATTCTTCATTTAAAATTTTTTTATACAAAACTTTACCCACATAAAGTTTACTGAAGTATTATTTGTAAAAAGGAAAATGTGAAGCAATGTGGTTAACAAAAACTATATCAGCTGTGTTACTTCAGATTTGTGACAGATAATAATCTATTTAAAACAATATCTGTGACAACTGTGAGCATGAAAAAATAATCAGTAGAAAAGACAAAAAGTTTACATTGTCAATTCAACTATGTAAAATAAAATCATGGACTTATAATGATAAATATGAAACAATTGGTGGAATTACCCTCCTTTTAAATTTTTTATTATATTTTCAATTTTTGTTTGGTTACATAGACTTACATTTTTAGTGGAAAATCTGCCTTGAAATGTTTATAACAGTCAAAATTCTTTAACATTGAAAGACTTGTATTGTAGATAAATGAGTTATAACAGTTACAGCATTGCATAATGACTTGTTAGCTTCACTACTTATGTAAGCTGAAAACTTAAATAGTGCAAGATTCGTTTTTTGCTAAAAAAATTCCTTTATCAACAAAACAAAACCAAATTATGGATATTATAAGTTATGTTTTGATCTGTCAAAGTTTGATTCATGATCTGCACGTTCAAGAGTTCAGAGCATGTTCAACATGTTCAAGCAGAATATCGAATTTCTGGGGCTGGGGATTTAGCTCAGTGGCATAAGCGCCTGCCTTGCAAGCAGACAGTCGTGAGTTCGATCCTTGGTACCAATAAAAGCGAAAAAGACCAAAAAAAAAAAAAAAAAAAAAGAATATCAAATTTCTAGAATTCCTGTTATTCTGCACAGGATACTGACATAACAATTGTACATTGATTACGAGGCCCTGTAGTACTATGCAATTTTAAAATGCAGAATAAGTAACATTATCAAGTTAGACTTCCATTGTGGTCACACAACTACTAAATCATAGTCTGAATTTAAACCGGTATTTCTTATCTCAAAAGCCAAGACTCAAAAGCCTCCTTATGCTATTTTTAGTATTAGACTACTCAGCATTTCTGTATTCCAGTATTAGAGTACCCAGCATGCAGGTTGTTTATTTGTAGAGGGTGCCAGGGAAATTGTCTTCACTTCTTATTTTGTATTATAGTAATATGTAAGTATTACATAATAGGTCTACTCAACTGCTGTGTAGCAAGAGTTTACCAAACTATCTGAGTAATCCTTCTACTTAGGGCAAAACAAGTTGCAATTGTAGTAGTATTGTTTTTGCTTGTTTGTTATACCCTGAGCTATTCAATTTATTTGATCTTTCTGGATTAGTATATTCATAATTGCTTAAATCTCAATTTTGCTTTACCTTGGTAGAAAGAGTCTTCATATAAATCATGAGGTAAGATAGACATGTAGAGGAATGTAAACCAGTACAATCATTATGGAAATCACTATAGAGTTTTCTTGTTTTGTTTTTTTAGACAGGGTCTCACTCTGTAGTTCAGACTGGCCTGGACTCACAATGTAGCCCAGGCTGATCTCAAACTCAAGGTGATCTTTCTGCC